AAGAATTCTGCCCACACTAGAGGAAAAAAAGAAAAAGACCACTTTCTGTACAAGTTTAAAATTATGTCCCTACATCACCTCTTTTTCCCTTCCTGCTCTGCCAATGCAGCTACTAACAAAAAGATTGGTATTATATGGCTTGTAAGGAGAGACCTTTTCCAAAAAGACTACAGGACAGCTACTTTACACTCTAAATATCTGCTTCATAACCTGAACAAAGATCCAGTATCAGTTATTTTATCTAACAAATACAATGCTAAATGAAGCACACATAGTGTTCTTCCGGCATACCCAGCAAGTTTGCTATTTTTTGCTAGCTCGCTGGAGTGTTTATTAAAAATAACACAGCTGAAAAAAACCCCACAGTATTCAAACCCATAAACTTGTTTACTTTTTCCTGCTATACTGACGAGTCCAATACAGTATTTCACCAAGAACAGAACATGCATTAGGTGGCCTTCTCTAATTTTCACATCTTGAAGTAACAGACCTAAAGTAGGCAGCTCCCCCTTAGAGCGCACACAGGTATGAATCACAAAGAGGATTAGCAGAAAGCAGGATGAAGAATGGCAGATACACTGAAGTTTGAAACATTGCTCTCTCAAAAACAATCTCAGATTTGACGTCAGTTCACGTTACTCTATGCTGCAAAGTGGTATCAGGGATAAAACAAAACAGTTGTCAGTAACCTGAAGTTCCAAAAATAATCTAAGTGACATTTCTGAAAGGTTATAGGAAGTTGGTAAGTATTAAGATCCCTTGAATGGCTGAAAATACACACCCATGTAAGCACAACAGTCAAGAACACAGGATATTCTGGACACCAGTAGGTCCATATTACACTGTTTGGCCTATTACTTGAGACATTTCAAGAAGAGGCAAGCCTTCCAGTAAATATTTTTGGGGGTTGTTCACATTGTTGGTAGGTGTGTTCATAGAGAAAATCTGTAACAGGGATGCTTTTTTTTTTTAATATATATTCTTCAGAAGACTTCCTAAAAATTAGCCCTTGATTAGATAACATCATTGAGAAGACAGATCTACAGCTCAACAACAGTGTATAAAGCTTGGCAAAGGCATTAGATCCAAGAATGTTGATGCACAGTCTGGTAGTTCCAGAGACACTGTCAGAGTTGCTAGATCATCTATCAAAGCAGAAAGGCTGCCCTCTGAAATAGAAGTTTATGGTTTCCAGAAGCTAGCTACTGTCTGAGAAGGGAGAAGATAATGTTCCATAGTTCACCGAGTTTTCTAAGGTCACATGACTTCTAGCTAGGATCAACTCCTAATCACTTCTCCTAACGAATTCCTAATCTCCTAAGCATCCCTGTATGAATAAATATGAATATCTTATTTAAATGCATTATCACCAACCCAGCCACTTGAAAGAGCTGAACTCCAGACAGAGCCATGTCTGAATACCATACCAAGTAGGAGGAAATAGTTGGAGTCGCATCAGCGTTCAGCTGTTAGCAAGGTCGCTGCCCTCTACTTCTATCCGGTATGATTTTTTAGAATGACAACATGCTGCAAGTCATTATTAAGATTACAGCTGGGCAGCCACTACTATTTATTATGTACCTATCTACTCAGTTTTCCTCAGGATAGGTCACATACCCGCCCCCATCTTAATTTTGTTCCTTCTAATGGGAAAAGGAAATAACCAGAAGTGGACCCCTTTGAATTTGTCCTAGCCAAGAGAACAAGGCCATATCTGCTCACAATATAAGACTGAGATAAACCTGTACAAGTGCAGAAAGTAAAGCAGCAAAGTTCAAGGGCTGAAACACAAAGGACAGGCGTTATGAAGAACATCTAGCATCTATTTTGACATCACAAACCATACAAAATTTAATTGTGTGAAATAGTTTGAGGGATTTCTGAACAGGTATTCCCACAGTTACATTTGCTTTTGCACTGGAAGATTTAATACATTTTTGCTCAGAAGGCATACTCTTGTTTAATTTGTGCCTTTTCATAGAATAAACACAAGGTTGTCTTGCAGAATGACACTTGTCACTGAGATTTGCAGAAGAAAGCTAACAGCTCAGAGGTGTAGACTTTGAATGTGCTCAAGTGTCTCTCAAGACTTGCATGAAACACTGATTTGTTTACCGATGGTAACATAATTAAGGACCTCAAAGGATCCTACTGGTTGAAGAAGCTGCCTTGAGCGAAGAAAGTGGAAAAACAATGCTACAAGGCAATTTGTCGGGTCATTGAATGTGCTCTCCCTCAAATTTCTCATACAGCCCCACAAAGACCAAGCAGCTTAAACAGACATTCACATTTTAAAGACTTGCAGAAAGTTGCATAGACTAGATTCTACATTCATACTTTGTTTCAAAAATTACTGTTTGTGTTTGGAATACAAAAAGCCTAGAGATTTTTTCTGAGATTTTTAGTCAGCATCTTCTTATTTATGTCAGGATGCAATACAAAATCTTTCTTCTGATCTATAGAATAAGCCTGTCATTGTTTGATCAAAAGATATTTCTTGTGCCCTTCTACTGTTTACATGAGTGGCTAAGAACAGATATGTTTCATCAGGAGGCCATTAAAGCATGTTCCAGGAACATTCCCATTTTCTAAACATCAGAAGCATGGTCCATCAGTGTTCATTAGCTTCCTTTGGTTTTTTGCATACATTTCTATCTATACTAAAAAACAAATGGGTTTGGTCATAGTTTTTAACTACCTACATGTAAGAGATACTGGAAACAAAAGTCGTATCTGAGCCAAATGCTCAAAGTTCAAAGAAGGAAGAAAAAAAAATTATTTAAGAAGGAAGTTAAGCTCTTGGACTCTTTAAATTAAGATGACCATAGATTCTAAAATGTTGCAATACTCTTCCAGTACTCGTAGTAAGAACGAAATACTGCAGCTGGTCTAATGTGGCAAACCAAAGTCATAAAACCTAGTCTCTCTGTGATCTCAACATGTCTCAATTTCTCTTCTGCTCACCTGAAAATACATAGCATGTAAACAGTAAACTATAACCACCTTCTCAGATCTGGAGGTTCTTACCTGGCAAAGCAACTGTACCATCTTGTTCCAAAGTTTCAGGGTTTATTCTTATGGCTGTCATACTGTGATTATTCGCATCTCTATATAATAAATAACCCTGGTAAGAGTAAGAATATATATATTGGTATGAAAATATTCTTAAATACATCAAAGGATACTGTCCAAAACGAAAAAAAATACAATCATTATTTTAGGTATTGTTTAAAAAATTTGGAAACCTTTACTTTTAACATCAAATTTGCTCTATTTTGATAAACTTTTTTCACCAATCAAACTCTGCAATAAAAAGCAGGTATTTGACCCCCTTCCTCCACACTTTCTACATGCTGTAGATCAGCATGCTGAAGCTCCTGTACAGCTTTTGAAGCCACGAATAGTAATTCTGTTCTTCATACGTTTATACAATCACAGTGAAAAGCCACAACAAAAACCAATGCTCTGGTCCCCACTTTCCAAATAAACAAAAGATTCATAGAAATTCCAGGAAGAAGACACATGTATTGCCCTATATAGATGAGTGATCATTAATGAATATTAATATGTGCATTAAAAACTAGAGAATTTTTCAAAAATGTTATTTAACTACTTTGACTCCCACGCTAACAAAAATCCATGTATTTATTCTTTCTGAGCTCTTCATCAAAGAAACTTCGGCAAAGTATAAGGTTATGCTGGTGACAGCAGCCATAACACAAGGTTCCATACAATGAGTTCTTATACTGCTGACCTCCCAACTCCTACCCAGACCTAGGGGAAAGGAGATATTCAGGACTAATGACTTCCTTCTTCTATTTCTCCACATGCAGAATACCTTCATTTCCCCAAAATTACCTATTCTGGTCAACAACACACATCAAGATGTCTCCTTTGGTATACCAATATAGTATCTTCTCTCTGTTCACATGCATATATTTTTTTAAAGGTTTGATTCAGTCACCAGTTTAGAAGGTTTCTCAGTAAAAAGATCTGCCTACCTGAATCTCACATTTGAGTTTTATTGTTTATACCTATAACTTTGAGTGCACTTTTAAACAAGTACAGTCCAGTAAGTTTTGTTTTAGCTTAAACTAGATAGGTTGCGTAAGCCCCCATGTTTGCATAATGTGCACAGATCCATAAGAAAGGCAATATGGCAACTTTGCTCTTATATCTTTTTTGACCGCACAATTCGAACCCTTCAAGGATTTTGAGGGAGCAAGGCAGAAACATAGTTGGAGAATTTACACTTAGCACTTCTGCTATAAAAGCAGCTACAGGAAAGAAAAAAAGATTACTTAAGGGCACTATGAACATACCCATTCCAGGTGACTGAGGCCAAGCAAAGCAGTACTCACCTACAGGAGAGCTGCAGAGGCCAATACGAATAATGACTAAGTATTGATTCTGAAAACAGCAGCGTCGTAGCAGGAGATAGGACAATGGCTTGCATTTGTTTGAAGCGTGATCAGCCCTAGGTTGGGATTCTACACATCTAAGAATGGATGCATTTCACAGGGAGGTCACTAAGGCTTAACCTCAGAATATCTTCATCTACCAAAGAGTCAGAGACCCTACTTACAATCATCTAACAACAAAAGAAAAATCTAACCACGCCTTTTCCTTCTATCTAAACTACTTGAATTTTCCTGGATAAATCAATCTCTGTGAAATGAGGAAAAACAAACCCACACAAACTAGCAAAAATAAGTAAAGAGCATTAAAGTAGATAGAAAAGGTTCAGTCTAAAATAACTGACATGATGAAGCAAGAAACAGCGCTTGAATTTGAGCTGACTTTAACCAAGCACCTGAAGGCAAATGACACTGAAGGCACATCTTACCTCTTTTACATACACATACTTAGCAGTGAGTACAACTTGCACATCTTCCTACAAATATAGTCCCAGAGTCACATTTTTCCAACTAACAGTGACTTTGGGTATAGTCAATGTGTGAGTGCATACACGTGCACAAGCACTCAAAGAAGAGTATCAACTATAGATATGTACAGAATGTCTGAATGTGTAACTCTATACAGTGAAACTGTATGGATCCTATTCCTTTCCAAACTGATAAAACAGGCTCCTGAATGAATGCATCCACACACATTTGTACTGCACGAGTATATCTTTTGGTGATCTGTTCTAATACTAAACAAAACCAGATTTCATGTATATATATATATATATGTATAACTAATAATAGAATATATATTTGTAATGAACAATTTCACTTCAAATGCATGGCAAGGAGTACACTCAATTTCACACTGGGTCAATGACATCACTCAGTTAATAGTAAATATACAGCAAAAATTGCTTAGTAGTTAAAAAATTAAGTAAATTCATTGTTCTCTGAAATTTAATTTTCAGTTTGTTATGGGTTTTTTTTTGTCTGGTTTGGGTTTGTGTTGGGTTTTTTGTTTGTTTGGGTTTTTTTTTTTTTGAGAGAGTGCACTCGGTGGTAATAACAGGATTCTAAAAAAACACCACTAATTTTATAATGAACGGCAAAGATCTAAGAAAATGTAGTTGATATTCCAGTAACCAACTAACTCTAAAACCCCAAAACATCTAAATATAGTTAACTCTGCAGTGGTAACGTCAACAATTATCTCTACTTACGGTTTACACATCCTCAATCATTCCCCAAAAACAGCGCTTCCTTATTTTACTGCAAATGTTTTAAAATCAATTTCTTTTCATAAATAGGTATTTCAAGTATTTTTACACTATTTTGTTGCAACAGCACATTTTTACATCTACTAACTTCAAGAAGCACATATCAATTGACTGTACAATTCATAAATTTACATGTTAAACCAGCATGTTTTGAGAAAGTCTTTACAGTTACAAATCAATGACACTTTTCATTATCCCTTTCTATATGTCAGATGTTCCTCATCTTCCACCATTTAAATCAGTACCAAAAAAATTAGTTTTATAACTAAAGCCAAAGGAACAATAGAATATCCACGTAAGCTTACTCTAAGCCAAGGTCTACTTAAATTACTCATGAGCGATGAGGGGTGGGGTGCACATTTTATGTTTTAAATATTCACCTACCTGAGCATAGCCTAACCAAGACTTTTTTTCCTTTCTGTTTTTGATGCGGGATGTAGAATTGTATATATGGCCCTGAAAAGCAAAAAACTCCAATCATTTAACAAGTACCAGACTGAAATTTTACACTTAATCATTTATCATCTACATAACAATATCTTCAACCATATTGAGAAGTGAAAATTGTAAGAAAATGCTGTAAAATTCTCACAGAAATAATCAGAAAAATTGAGACAAACTGTAAAAGTAAGCCACAAAAGATTTTCAATGGAAACAGGACATCATAAAAGTTAAGTTAGTATTTTAACTATCATTCATCAGACAAGAAGAAATCACATTACCCTCACTGTCCCACTATATCCAGAGCCGATTTTGTAAAGTCCATCTTTACATAAGAGATAGAGAAAGAAACCATCACTCTGAAGTAGGCACTGGTCATCTTCATCTACAGATATTTCTTTCAATGGCCATTTGTGCATCAAGGCTGCCTTCTTTATCCCATTACTGAACCAGTCCTGGATTTGGATTTTGCCCACCAGAACTGCCTGCACACTCCGCTGAAGAGAGTTTAAAATGGTTGGCACCTAAACAGTAAAAGAAATAGTGAGTGAGTGAAAAACATTAATATTTTTTAGAAGTTGTATCTTCTGTTCTATCTCGAACTCAAGAGAGACAAAGAAATACCTACTCTTGACTCAAAAATAGCGAGGAGAAAAAAGTTAACTAATTTTACACAATATATCTTCTCAGAACTCATATACACGATTCACATAAATTCCCAGATACAGACAAGTTTTAGTGCAAGACCTGAATAGTCTGACAAGCATGGCTGCCATTATTGGTGAGGATAGCAGAGATTGCTTGCAATGTTCTTCCTGTCTCTCCCCAAGCAGCTACCAAACTGAAGAGGCAAGCGCAGGAAAGTGCTGTCAAGGACTGTCCTGTACTGTCATTCATTCCCGTGCTACGGACAGTTATCTCCAGAAGAAGCTGAAACAGGGATTCTGCAAATAAAACACAGCAATAACACAGACAAGTCACAAAATCATACCAAGCAATTTGCCAATCAATGGGAAATTAAACTTAAAATATACATGATACATCTTTCCTCAGCCATTAAGTTTAGCCCAATTTCCCGTCAGAAAAGAAAGTATCCCATTTAAATAGGCCTGAAATATCCTTAACTTTTCTTTCTTTTTCAGCCAGAAAACATTGAGTCTTGATAATCACAATGGCTGGAGAACAAGAAAAACTAAGTCCTTCTGTTACAGTGAAGCACATTAGTAAGAAATGGGCCAGAAGGAGTTACTTTACCTGCCTATTCAGTCTACCTCACCACTGAGATGATGTGTAGGTTTTGACCAAACTTGTCTAATCTTTACGACCACTGCCCATGTTGAAGCACACCCCATTTCTCAGCAATGAGCATTTGAAACAAAACATGAAAAATAGTTTGATCACATGCCTCTTTTCAAGGACTGTTTAGTAGCTGAATATCTGTAACAATCAAGGTGTGAACAGAAATCCATCTCAATTCTTTTGATAGTATAATCACTAAGGCAGTAATCAAAACAAAGCCTTCTTTGTAGCTTTTTAACACTCTGTGCATCAATACAAAACAAAAGCTTTCTGTAGCAAACCAATATCATCTTTGGAAATGGAATATTATTAAGCCATAACATAGGAAAACATTACATAGAAAATCTTAAGATATACTTTTTTATTATTTTTAAACCACAGATGCTACAGCCTAGCCTTCCTTGCAGTTCTATAAACCAGTAAAAACTATTAATTAAAAAAAGATAATTGGATTTTAACTTAAAGGACATAATCCATCATACACTCAAAGCCATCAGGAGTTCAACTTTTATTTTCAATATAATTAAAAGCAAAATTAATTTTCAGGGAAGCTTTTGGATGGCCAGAGGAAACAAAAGCAAGAATGCTGACACTTTGTTTAGCAGCTTTATATAAATTACAACATGAAATAGCTAAGACATAGATTACAACAGCAGATCGCAAGAGAACTTCACTGTAGAACTATTGTCTTTCCAGTATGACCAAGTATTTTATAGCTTCAGTAAGACAAATGAATCACAATTTGTAAAGTTGTAAGGTTTACTATGTTTTAGTGAAACTCTGCGTTATACAGCAACAAAATATTAAAAAAAAAAATATATATATATACACACCCACACCTTTACATGCCAACACTCCTATTCTACAAAAGATTAATGCTGAGAAAGTACTAGTTACATACACCACAAGGAGTCTACACTCCAGAATACAATCCGTCAGTTGAGAACAAGCTTGGTACTATCTCACAAATACTTGTTAGGAACCATTTTCTTCTGTCCAACACAGTAACAGATGATGTTAATAGAAATACAGTAACAGATGAGATATTACCTAGCACTTCAGGAGGCTCTGATTGCAGGCCTTCTGGTTGCTGGCCCTGGAGCACATTAAGTAGGGCTTGTAGGCTCCTGAGACACAAGGATGGATGAGAAAATCTTGTCTCCTTTATCAGTTCAAAGACTTCACATAATCCAACTTCAATGATCTAAAGAAGTACAGATATTTCAGATTATGTTAATATTTTTGAATTTTCATCAATAAGTACATCCCAATGTTCACAGAACAAGACAGCTATTCAAATAACAAAAATGTAATACAGAATACAATGGTAATTCAAGAGAGAATAAAAATCGAGAACGCAACTACACAACTGTATTAGCAAATATTACACAGAAGTCATGTCATTCTATGAAAGAGCATATCTAAGCAGAGTAATAGTTCCCAGAAAAGATAACAAAACAATTTTTTTTTGGACAATGTAAGACAAATTGTGCCTCTGAGCCCTTCTAGTTTCTATTGAGTTCACACTTTGATAGACCTCTTTTTCCTTTTTCCTTGATCATTACTGTGAACCAGAAAGCTAGAACTGGCTTGCAACTTGACTTCCCAACTTGATACATTTGACAGCTGATACTGGCAGCACTAGTACGTTCCCCTCCAAAGACTCTGAGATTGTTTTTGTGACAATATAAAAAATAAAGATTAATTGCTTGTCACTAAAACTCCACAGCACTCATCAGAGATGCACTATGCCAACTAACACATCTGTAAAAGCACTGTTACAGCCACTCCTAACTTTGCCTTTCAGAATTCCTGAATATTCTCAGATTACAATTATGCTTCTCTCCACTGACTGTTCCCTTTCACTTCCTTCTCAAACTCAGCATGTCATAATGATGAGAATGAAAGAAAAGTGAGCAGGGTTAACTTGTTACAAATGAGCAACGCCATCTTCAAAACTTTACTACGTGTTTCTGTCAGGAGCAGAGCGGCAATGTTTAGTGTTTAGATTCACCTCTAAGTAAAATCTAAGGAAAAAGACTGAAATATAAATAAAATTGTTAATGGAACTGCCACTCATGCTTAAAACAGTTCTATTCTGACAGTCAGCTGTAAGTTCTATTGGATGCCTTCTAACTGTCTTTGCTGTCATTCAATTTATTTCAATTCTTGCCTTTTGGAAGTAACTTTACCACCTGTTCGATTTTCGGAGGAAGAACAGAAACATAATCAAATCAAGTCTTCAAAGTGCAACAGCAATTTTCCTGCAAATTACACTTTATATTTTGTTATCTTCAATGGAGTGTGAGAAAAGGCATGCATGGAATCTACAGGTGAAAAAAAGGTCAACAAAAAACCAGCACAGATGGTTTTTCCAGGATCCAAAATTCAGCATCATCTTGCAGGCTGAAGAATAGAATACATTGTAGTACATTTTTAGAAATATTCTTCTTTTTCAGTGATACTATCTTTGAGGGAAACTGAGAAGTTTACTGTATTCTTCCAAATCTTCAGACAGAAGACCTCATCTAGTAGCTGACAGAAGCAGCTGGAGAAAGCAGAGGACTTAGCACAGTGGAGAAAATAATCTGGTGAACTTCCACTATGGCAGGAATCAACAATGGATAGATACTTCTGCTGGAATTTTGTCTGATCTGCACAGGTTTTGGGTTGGGTTTTTTTAGTATATGAGATCAACAGGCTGGGTAAACAGGTTTCTTAAAACAGGTATCTTCACCTTTATGCTTTTATACATATGTATACTACATACACACACACACATATATATACACACACATATATAACGTATGTATCTCTGTCTCCCAACTCCTCCAAACTGTGCACTGAAGGACAGAATAAGCAAACAGCTCTTTTCAAGACATCTTAAGCTTGTTCTCGCTGCTCTCTGTGGCATCTCTGAGTCAAAACAAGCACTGCTGCAGTCTGTGTCACAGCTTGCCAGCTCTTACTGATGTTCTCTGCACAGTCACCCTCCTGTTCCCTTTGCAATATCTTTGCGACTTCATATCAAAAGCATAAACCCACCTTACGAAGGTGCACACAATTCTAGCCTGGATGCAGACATTATGACCAATAATTAATTCCTCAAAAAAACGCCTATTTCTTCAAGAAATCTCATCTACACTATTGTTTCATTTCCTTTGTCTTTTCTCTCTCATAACTGCCCAGTACTCGCGTTTCTGTTTAAGGATACATAATAGCCTGTATATTTATACCCTGCATTAATTTATATGTTTATTATATACATACAAAAAAAATACTTTACACAGGTAAAACAATCTCCTAATGTATTTTAAAACACTTAAAAGTCAGTTTCTGAAGAGAGTAATTATTTTTCTTCTATTTTTTGTTACAACTTGAACATTTTCATTTTTGCTTAAGCTTATTAACTAAACAGCAAAATGTATGCCACTTCAGGAACAAAGAATAATTAAGTCAGTTAATTCCACCTTAATCCAGCATTTGTTTCCTTCAGTACAGGGCTTTTGTGGATCTTTCATAACCCAGCGTTAATTTTAATATTGGTAAAGAGAAGTGCCTCTTTTTAACTCTAACAATTACAAATCAAATGAGCAGACATTAATCTGCCCTATTTCAAGCAGAGAGAATTCCCCATCACTAGCCAAGCTACTAAATAAATAAAGTACTAAATAAATAAGTCAGGCAAAGGTGATTATTTCTTGTAAATCCAAAAATTTAAAGCTATCAAAGCAAGTTACTAAACTGTCTGAACACAACCAAAATACAAACTTGTTATGCGCTAGTAACTGAAGACCAGCAAATGGTGTCTCTGTGTGTCTGTTAACAATTGTTAAAACCAATTATTCTCAATCTCAAACTGCACAGGGCAACTTCTAATTCTGAAGTGCATTCTAAATAAAACCTCTAACAAACCTGACTTCCTCAAGTTTAAAAAAAAAAAAAAAGATACTTCGATAGTGTCCCTCCAAACAACCTAAGCTGCATAAAAAGTAGAATGTTTTCAGCTCATTCTCAAATAAACAAAGATGTTTTGAGAATTAAAAAACCAAACACACCAGGGACTAACTTCACTACTGTGAACTCTGGAGAATCTTTAAAAGCACAAATTCTGGCTACGCTTTTTTTTTTTTAATCTTTCACCTCACTGTCAAACTCAAAATATATCAGTATTCTTTCTAATAAGTTATCAATTACTTTCAGAAACTGGTCTAGTAAGTATTATAAACCTTAGGAACGTCAATAACTTTCTTCTTTATATTTAATAAACTAAGCCCTACCCAATATTGTTCATTATACATAAGAACCAGACCGCAATATACTCAAAGCATGAGACAAGACACCTATATTCAGGATACAAAGACATTTACAGAGTTAGCCTCTAAAAGTTTTACTACCTGTGAGATAGCTCCAAGTGGATGCTTTTTTCAAATGCACGGATGCAAGTGAAATTAATAGTAAAAAGTATCTTACCTCAGAGTGACCTAAACAACTCAATATTAGCTAGACAGTTACTAGAAATACTGAGGTTGTATAAAGAATCTAAGCCATCATTGAATCAGTAAAAACTCTTGTATTCTTTGATATTTTGTAGTTTCTTTGCTAAAAATGAATAGTTTGAAAGTATACTGATTTTCATGAATTTTGTATTTGCTGGTTTAAATGTAACAAAATATGTCACTGATTTTCTGGTTTGAGAAAGTAAAAGTAACGTTTGCTACTTACAGTTTCCCTACCATTTTTCCTAAGTCACCATCTTTTTAAAACTGCACCACTTTTCCAAGGCTCTTTTTCATAAACTCTCCAACACCTTTAACAATAGCAATGTATTAGTGTCCAGATGCAAGTGTTCTGTCCATATCACTGGTAAATCTCATTCTTCTTGGAACCTCTTTTAATTTCAAAATCTCTTTGTGTTCTTCATAAATGCTAATAGCTATGATGCCTTTTACTTAAAAAGTCAAATTAAGCATCTACAAGCACTTGCTGATGCGTATAATTTAATCCACAAAGAGTCAGATGGAGTTCATAAAAAATACTAATTTTATTTGTACTGTCCACACATTATTTTGTGACTGTCAGCCATGAAATTTCAGTTACCTGACTTGTTTATGTTCCTCTGCAATTCTCCACCACTATTTTCCAGAGTGCCAACTTTGCCTTGCAGATAATACTACCTAAACACAATCATCTATAAAATTCTAATTTTCTAAGCAATTAGAACATTCCACATAATCACTGCTGCAACAACCTTTTTTAGTTCAGTATTTGTATTGTTTTTAGAGCAAGTATAAATGTGGAAAGTTATTCTGAATATGCTTTTTAGACTCAGAAGAATAACAAAAGGAAGCAGGATTCACAGCATTGATAAGCTAGCAATGAACAAAACACAGAAGTTACAAAACAAGTACAAAACAGGTGAATCAGCAAATAGAAGAAAAAAATCAGTAACTCTTATATAGTTTATTTCTGACTTTCCACCGTTAATCCTACTATAAGCATATAAGTAGTAAATAGTAAAACCCCTACCCTAACTGTTGAACTACCATGTCCAAAATCTTAATGTGCATTACTATGTACAGCCATCAGCGCCAAAAGGCACTAAAGCCAAAAAAGGGAAAGATTAAAAAACTAAGGTAGTAAGAACAATTGACAGTTACTGCAATTACACATATACCTGGCAAATAATCTTAGAAAACACTACACCTACTGAATTCCAATAGCAATAAGATTTATTCAAGCAAGAGAAAGCACCCTTTGTCATTACCAGCTAGTAGCCTCTGACAGATGGCAGAGCCGCTGTATGACTTTTGAGCCTGTAGGTTATTTTCAACTACCAGCACTTAACAGAAGTGCAAGTTGAATGTTTACCTGAAATTTAATTGACTTTAAAATTAAGTATTGCACAGGTACACAGATCTTCCTAATTCATCAAATCAGATGATTCTGGACTAGACGGACTACAAATAAAACTATAGCTACTTTCTGAGCAGCTGGCTGTTTACGCTGTTCTTTATTCCTCATAGAGAACATACTAACTTTAGATCACATACATGGCACATGTTAAACAGTATCCAGTTACTTGCCTTTGGAAGTTTAATAGGTGGCTCTTTGGATTCCTCTTCTTCATCACTGTCCGAATCCCCACTCTGTACACTGTTCTTTGAAGCCAAAGATACAGATGCTTCCTTTTTTTGCCACTCCAACACACAATGGCGGACATTGCAGTAAACATTAAAAGCTGAAGGGTTGCTATGTAATCTGATATCCGGTATGGTTATTGTACTCTCTAGGTTTTCAGTCTGAAAAACAAGAGTAGTTTTAATTTTAGTAGAAGTTTCAAGCTTTGCTAAATACAAGTAATCTAAACAGTCTCAGTAATTTTGGCTGATCAAATGATTCTCTAAGCAGAGACTGAACTTTCCTGTTGAAGTACCAGTTATATTTCAGGCAGGGAAGAAAGGAGAAAGACAAAGAAATTTCAATATATTCCATCTCGCTTTAGTCTCTCAACTCTCATAACCTGATGAGGACACTGGGACAGAAAATGAAAGCAGCCCAGGCTACAGAATGGTCCAAACATCTGCCACAGTCAAAAGACTAGCAGAATTCAGAATTTACCTTCTTAACAGGGGTCAGGTTTTTTTTTTCCTTTTTTTTTAAATTAATATTACTGAATTTTAAAATGCATTATTTGTTATTCTAATTCTTAATCTATTAGTAAATAATAAAAATTCAAGCTGCTTGCTAAATGTATATTAGAAATTTAAAAAAACATTAGTTTTGTCATTAAATGAAAACAGATGGCAAGTTCAGAAACTCCCCAACAGGATGCTGTGCATATAATTTTGTGGATAGTAAAATCCTACTGGACAAACTACTAAATACAAAAATCTATCAAGGCCTATGAAGTAACAGGACACGATCCTGTTTTCAGAAGCCCTGAGCCACAAAGTAAGAGTTGGGAAACTGTTCTGACAAACTACCACTACCAATGTCCTTACCCTACTACTACCGCGCCCTGCCCTTTCTTTCCTTGGCATCTACTACTGGTATATTACTGTCAGTCACTGCCAAGACACAGAAGAGCCTTCATGAGGCTGTCATTAGACTTGGAAAAATACTAAGAAAAAACACTTATTGAAAAAATCTTTTAAATTCTGCCCCATACTCTCCCTTTCTGCAACAGTAAGATGGGACAGGAGGAATGATAAGACTTAAAAACCAACCAAACAAAATCCCAAAACAACAACAACAAAATAAATCCCCAGGCAGGGTTATACTTTCTCTTTGGTTGAGCACAACCAAAGACTAGGCTGTTTTGAGCACAGGCTGTGAAAAACTGGACTTCAGGCATATAGGAGGAAGCAATATATATAACGCCTTGGTGTAAACAGAGGGCACAGGGACTACATATGAAGAGAAGGTGTAGGTTAAAGAGTGCGGGACAAATTTGCCTCAATATGCAAGGCAAAATTTGGAGGTGCATTAGGCTAGAGTAAGTCATGGTCATGACTAACTTGACAAGGTTATTCTGGTTTGTTTCTTGTATTCTTGGGGGGCGGTGAGGGTGGAAGCTTTTGGTCTTTCTTTTTATTTAAGGGGGATAGATATTGTGAAGGACCACGTTCATTTGGCAGGAGAGTAAGCAGTGACAGATCAGAGTGGAAATACTCATACATCCATGAAAGCAGTCATGGGAAAGAGGACCTTAAACTAGCAAAGAAGAGGGGAAAAGCACTTTGAGAACCAGTGAACTGGATACTGTTTTGATGAGGGGATTTATTTTTCTGCAATATGGTAGTCACAATTTTGTACATCAAAACACAGCAATGGTTCACAACATATTTTTATCTGCACTTATCTTTTTATTATTACCAGAAATAACATGGGTTTCTAAATTAGACCATTTAACACCATGTTACAAAACTTACTAAAAATTCAAAATATCTTCAAAATATTTCATAGTTTACTTATTTCCTTTTATTTTTGACTATAGTATTATTCTAACTGTACTGGTACATTTGCATATCCTTCCTTCCATTACCACAAAATTATTGCAAGTTAAAACATTAAGAAGCAGTGGTTTACTCTGTGGCCTATTTTATCCAACACAGACAGGGTGTTAATTTTATCACCCATGGCAGCGTTAGCAGTACAAATACATAAAGATAATGGAAAAAAAAAAAAAAAAAAGCTGGTAAAAGTTCCCTACATACATACTGAAAATTTGGGTTATTTGGGGTTTTTATCCTTTTTTTTTTTTAGCACAACAGAACTTCTGCCATTAGGGACTGAAAGACAGTATCAGTTGTCCTTATTCAACAGGAATATCTTTGAAATAATAAAGCTGCTGTTAAAACCCCACAATATTAATCAGTGCAAGAACTCAAGAAACAACCTCATATGTTATTCCGGTATCAAATTGCATCAAAATAGACTTGGACTGATACCAATGATAATGAGCTACTACACACTTTTAAAATGTATTTGGCACCAGAAAACTACACGGTTTCAACACATGACTCTTCTGTATGTCAAATATGCATACACATACCCGACAAGTTTTTGCAGCTGCCGCTAAGGCAAACACATAATATCAGCTTTCAGCTTTACAGCTAACTCAGTGGAACTGCACAGGTTAAAAAAAATATTTAGTAAGTTTACTATGCATTTCCTAGTTTAGTGACAGTTACAGGAAGAGAAAAATATCTGGATCCTCTAAAATATTCCTATCTGAAGTTCACTTATCTAATTAGTATCATGTATTGTAATTTTAACTTCTGTGCAGTTTCCATTCCAGTTCCTTCTTGTCAGGAGTTCAGCTTAGTCTTTGTTCCAGAACAGCCTAAGTTCTGTAGCACATGTAGCCTCTTTTGAAATAGGTTGGCCAAATTGTTTAAGCAGCACAGATAATTTTAGACATTACAGTGCTAGATAAAATATCAATGTATGTTTTCTTGCCTATTAATAATAAGCTGACTAATTTTCAGAAATAAATTCCTTCCTTATTCTCAATACAACTATTAAAAAGCTCCTTACCTAATGCTTTAGCTTTTAAACAGCAAGTACTTTAATCATTCTATCTTTCCAAGTTGTCTCATTCTTCTACAGCAGTGCACAAACTATAGTTATATACAACAATCTCCTATCCAGACTTCAGTACAGCACAACGTTCTCCAGAAAACCCTGCTCTACTTGAACAGTATACTCCATTCCGTTATACACTTGACAAATACAGAAGCAATCCTAACAATGACCCTTAAAAATAATTTTTAAATTCACTACCTGGTTTTGTCAGTTTAAAAACATTGGCCTTGTGACGACTGTACTAAATAAAACCCTTTCTGAACATAAGTTGTTGCGTTGTAAAAACAGGTTAAAAACTTTAGGGTAATTATGACTTTAACTGTTTCCTGGTTTTCATTTGAGTGGAAAAAAAACCCTCGATCGAATTAACATTAAATGTATATAAGCATACAAATGCCAAGCACATCTCAAGGCAAAAGAAAGGTGCTGAATGACAAGACACATTGTTTCTGGTTGGAGAGCAGGAAAGGAACTTCTGATCACCACTCTGTTCCCCACTGCCCCCAGCTTCACCATAAACTAAAAACCACTGATGATATATATATTCGTGATCTATTTGCTCAAGTCGCTGAGGGGCTTTAACTGTAATATTTATAGGTTCCAGGTCTTCAAAACAAACATCTGTTCTAAAGCAGAGGTACATGAGTAGGTTGTATAAACACTTTCTCAGATTTCTTTTATAAATGGTAGAGATGGAGATAATGGGAAAAAAAAAGAAACCGGAAAACTTTCTGCCCCTCTAATGCAAATGCTCATTCAGTAAGCGGCTTTTTTCCCCCTTTTTTCTTTTCTTCAATAGTTGTAGTGGAAAGAATTCAAAGCAGACATCAGAAGTTTTTTTCATGAGACAAGTATTTTCCTTTCCGAACTACGACAGATTCCTAACTTCACTGAGGTCAGATGCACTGGGACTTAAGGTTAAGTCCCAGGAAACTGGGACTTAAGTTCATCCCATCATCAACTCGAAGTTTCCTTTTCTGCAACTGATTAGAGCCACGGCATTGGGTCACTCTTCTACAGAGCCATATAAACTTCCCCGATCATATGAGATTCGTGTTACCTTGCTATTGGCTCGTAGATTTTGATATAGAACAGATCACTATGAAAATCTGCTAACTATGCCTACAAAACCCCACTAAGTAATTCTTATATCAAACTAATAAAGTCTATTTTAAGTTACAACAATTCTCTTAATGCTACTGCATTTCATGTTGACACAAAATACTTCTACATTGCCAAGGAAAACAGTGGAATATTAAGCCAAAAATGTTAATCGACTTCTAAGAATTCAGAGAAGCAACTGATTATTTTGCGCAGATCTAAGATTATTAATAATCCAATCAGACTGCTCTTGAGTGATGGGATACATTATTTCAATAAAAAAATTCCACACTAATAGTTTGTTTTCTTGGTGTTTTCTTGAGTGTATCAAGATCCAAAGATGTACAAAGATCTTTTCCTGACACTGTGGATAAGGTGTAGAGCAACAATCTCTTTTTCTGCACCTCTAAATGTCCTTTTCTTAATGGCTATGGGAATATGGCAATCCAAAGCACTCACTAAGTATAAGAATGACTAGAAGCCCAGCTTCTAGGACATCTGAGTAGAAGACAAGATGATAGGCTCTACATTTTTTTTCTCCCAAAGCACCTGGTTTCTCAGAATATGAAATTGTTATCACTTTCAAAAAGCACGGAGCTTCAAGACTGGAAAAAAGAATTATGCTTTTTGATACAGTGGTTTTCATACAAACTATAAGAAAGTGGGACATTCTGAAATCTATGTTGTTTCATAGGCTTGATAATCTGACACCCATCTACAAGAAGGGCCAGAAAGAGGACGTGCGGAACTACAGGCCTGTCAGCCTGACCTTGGTACTAGGCAAGATTATGGAGCAGTCATCTTTAGGGTGCTCACATGGCAAGTGCAGGACATCCAGGGAATCAGGCCCAGCCAGCACGGGTTCATGAAAGGCAGGTCTTGTTTGACCAACCTGATTGATAATCTGACACCCATCTACAAGAAGGGCCAGAAAGAGGACGTGCGGAACTACAGGCCTGTCAGCCTGACCTTGGTACTAGGCAAGATTATGGAGCAGTCATCTTTAGGGTGCTCACATGGCAAGTGCAGGACATCCAGGGAATCAGGCCCAGCCAGCACGGGTTCATGAAAGGCAGGTCTTGTTTGACCAACCTGATTCTCCTTCTATCAG